AAGATATCATGTCTGAAAAAAAAAGATATCATGTCTGCATCTTGCACTGTGAATAACTACTATGAAGACAACGATATGCAATGTATTAATTATTACTGTCCTACTAATCTGTTTTGAAACTGTCTCATTGCTATTTCTTCCTCAATAAAATTAATAAAAAAGAATAATCACACAGAGTAACAACTTCGTGGAAAGATACTCTGAGATCATAACACAATGAAATTCAGCAAGAACAGTTTAGGGTTCTATGTAGGCCCTGACAAGAATAAGATTCATCCACAGACTACCCAAGTCTCTTATTCACAGTGCTTAAAAGCTGTTTGTTTCCTAAGGAAGCTTTCTTCCTTTGCCACTGTGCCTGCCCCACAGGTGTGATTATTAGAGATGCCCAGGACAAATATTGTCCCTTAACAGCATCCAATCTTGAGTAAATCTTACTAGCCGGAGTTTTCTGAAGCCGCCCAAGCACACCCTCTTCCTGAGACTCCATATACCTGGTGGTATGTGTTCTTTCAGGCTGTGATGCATGAGACTCCCAGGACACTCAGCTGCTGTGTGTTCCTGCTGGTCGAGGGCTGCAGAACACTGACTGCCCGAAGGGCTTACCACGCCTTTCCTTCACTAATGGTCACAGCAAGTATAAGGCCTTAATCTTAGTCATTCTGCATTGAACTTATTTATTTTCTGTGAAGATCATTCAGACAGATCTAGTTTCAAATGAGTTAAAGAGAACACATAAAAGTCCTATCAGCCATTCCTATCCATTTACCCTATCACCAGCCCCACTGCTGCATTTTCTATAAAATCTACAGAGATTACCTGTGACTATCTCAGAAAGCATGTGTTAATAATTTTTTATTCTTCTTTTTCACCCAAAAGAGGGTTTGATCCACATTCTGTTTATTTTGGACTCTGCTTCCGTGTAGACCTTGGGGGAGTTTCCAAAACAACACACGACTGCTGATTCTTGCTTTAAGAATTTTTCCCACATAATGGTAAGTCAGAAGATCATTCAGAGCCAATAGTCACTCGTTCTGTGATCACTCTCCTAGACACATGTACACACATACCACCACCACCACCACCACCACCACCATCACCACCATCAAGGAGGATGAGGGTAGTTGAATCCTGGGCTCTATGGACCCTGTGTTCATTAACATCTAAGTTACATTTAAAAGATATTGTGAGCCATTAATTTCCTGTTTTCCCAAGCCATTCCTCTTCTGGACTCTCTCCCTTTACCATTTCCCCACCCCTTTACCTGCATTGAGCCCACAAATATAGACTGCCAGCGCCACCCTGCCCACCAGATGTCTCATCACCTCCAAGGGCTTGCAGCTGGTATGCACCATAGAAACCCTGCTTCTGGCTTTATACTGTCCCTGTCTGCCCCTCCTACTCTGGCTGCTCTCACCTGCTTATTCCGCAGCATTTTGAACCTTGTAATGGCCTTTGAGTGAATCCTATATTCATTATACTTTAAGAAGCAGAGTCCCAAGGGTGCTTAATACTTCCATATCAGTTTCATATTCTTTGCCCCTTGATTATTATTTTTTAAATGAGGGTAAAAAGAGGAAAGCAAAGTCAACAAAAGCCTCCTGGATAAGAATATCTCAACGAATCCAGGCATCTGTCTGTGTTCAGCCAGCCAATCAGAAAGAATAGATCTTAATCCTAGATCCTATGTGTGTGCTCGGTTTATACTACAATTCTTCCATTTCACAATTTTTTTTTCTTTTTGACATCAGTTATTTTATTTTAAAGAAAAAAAAATAAAAACAATGGTACAAAATCTCAAAACAAGATTTTAGGAGAGTAACAATGGTTAGTACATTGTGTACTGTTACTGCCAAAGTAGTTTCTCATATTACGAGATATAGGCAAGAAATAATAAATAAACAACATAGGTACAAACCTCTGGGTTTTTTTTAAAGTCAACAGAAAATGGAAATATACTTTTTAAAGTTTCTAATACTAGGAGAAGATATCATACAATGTCTTTTAAATAAATTGTAAGTCAAAGATACAGTATAAATCTTAGAACAAAAATTAAGATTAAGCAATATTCAGAAAATTAAATGTTTCCAAACAATTGAACTAAGAAAAAGTTTTCATGATAGCAAAGAAGTACTAAGAGTAAAACATAAGATAAATACTGGAATGGCAAGTAAATGACCAGCACTTCTAACAGTTTGAGGATAGGATATCACAAAGTTCTAGTGATTTCACAATTTTTTAGAAAGACCTAAGAAGGCACAAGAGTAGAAAGAGAGAGAAAGTGAGCACCTGTGAGTAGGTGAATGTCTCCCATCCAGGCATCCAGAAAGCAGTCCTTTCTGTTCTTCCCCTCCCCATATTTAGTGAGTTCTTACATGCTAAGGGACTTAATAGGAAGCCTTGTGTCTTCATAATAGGAGATAACATACAGTTACTTATGTGAAAACACTACCTCTTACTGGTTATGAACTAAAACTGTCTTCATGTATAGAATGGAAAAGAATACAAGTTGTAAAAACAGGCCTTACTTTGGTTCTGACATTTGCTAGCCAAGTGACTATAGGGTTGTTTTCTGAACCTAACACATATGGTCCACATGCATCCAGATTGGGAGGCCAGTGCATACTCTCTGTTTTCTTCTTTTTGAGTTATTTCCAGAACATCATGCTTCTCAGTACAAAACTACCTCCATCCAGGATGCAACTTAATGTGGGGAGAAAACCCATTTCTGCATCTCTTATTCAGTGGGCAAAATTTATAGCAAGTAGTTAAGTTCCCCTTGTTTTATTCATCTTAGATTTTTCAGTTTGGGTTTTTATTTATTTGATTGTTTTTGTTGAACTCACTCTTCTCATGCTCTGAATTCTAGCCCCAAATTCAATGTGTAATTCTATCCTGAGTTTTTATTTAAAAAGTCTCATAAAGCCTTTATACTCAGTGAGAAAAATTCTAGAAATTCACCCCATGCTGCACACTGGCCATGCATGTCCAGGACACTATGACCAGGAGCCAGAACGTTGTACCCTCTGGAGGGCTAAGGAGGACATTGAAGAGAAGCCACTGTTCTTTTATTTCTCAAGTGAATAGTCATTATGTCCAAAGGCACTTGGCCAACTGTTTAAAAATATTTCTCAGATCCAAAGTTTATATGAAGAAAACAGTATGGATGAGCAGAGATAATCCAGAGAGACAAATCTTATCCAAACTCACAAATCCACCAAGTTGTAAGGACGTATTTGTATTCCAGAACTTCCCTATGATACCACCAATAATGAGTCTAGAAAAATAAACACTGATTCTCACAGAGAAGATATCATGCAGGGCTCAGGGCTCATCTTCTGAAAAAATGAAGGGATATGACCCTGGTTTGCACAGACATCTATTAGCCAGGCTAGTTCTCAAGCTAGTAAAAAAAATGTATAAACATAAACCCCAGAGAGTGTATTATTCAAATCCTTAGTTTCTGATTAATCCATAGAAAGTTTGCATCAGATGTAAGTGAATACAATGTTTGATAGATGTTCAGTCCAAGAAACCTTTCAGCTATTCAATCTTCATGAGTTTTTGTTGCTTCTAAGAATTGGATAATTGTGAAACACACAAATCTCACAGAAACCCTGTTTATTAGTTGGCAAGGCCAGTCAATTCAGAATACCACAGAGAGAGGTGACTAGCACATCAGTCTGTGTGCACCACATGGGCTTCCCCACCATTCTCCAAACATCTCAGTGCAATCCCATCTCAGGAAATTTGCATGTTGGCTCTATTTCTGAAACTCTCTTCCCTAAAGATATCTGGCAGGACTCCTTCCTTCAAATCGCATTGACTCTCTGTCACCTGCTCAGAAAAGTCTTTCTTCTTCGCTGTCCTTAGAGCTGTGTTACTCATAACTGTGTCTCTTCTTTTTAACATAATTTAATATTTACAGCAGAAATTTTCCCTGCCTGACATCACATCCTACACTTATATCTATATCTGCACACGTATGCTCAGCAAGCATACTCAGCAAGCATTTGAGTGAAAAAAAAATGTCTCCCTCATAGATTTGGTGGCAGGACTTTGTGACATAATGTGAATAAAGAATTGCACTCAGATTTGGCACCTGCTGGCCAGTGGTAAAGGTGGCTGGCTGCTTTTGGCCATGAGACTGTGACTTGCTTTGTAGGTACCATTAAATTATTCCTGAAGGGCGTGCCAGATAGCTCAGCGGATTAAGGCACTTAGGCAGACACAGCGACAGGGCCTTGATCCCAAGCATGTAGTGCCGGCCCCAACCTCCACCCCCCCAGGGCGAGCTGAGACAGGGAGTGAGACTAGGTGTGGTGGCACGTGCCTATAATCCCCGAGTTTGGGAGGCTGAAAACAGCAAGATCGCTATGAGTCCAATCTGTGTAATGAGACCCTGTAGACCCTGTACTAAATACATACGTACATGCATGCATACATACATACATACATACATACATCCAGATGTTCTTGCCTGCAAAAGGGTAAATGGGATTGATTTCTAAAATCTTTTCTAACCTTAGTAGCTGCCTGTTCCTAAGTCAATATTTTTGGTTGGTACTTCTGACTCTGATGGGATGAGACCAGGTTTTAGACTTGGTTGGATGAAATATCTAAGATGATTAGGGCTGGGGAGATGGCTCAGTGGAATAAGTACTTGCCTGGCAAGTGCAGGGGCCTGAGTTCAATGCCTGGTTCTGCTAAAAAAAAAGAAAAAAGAAAAAAGAAAAAGAAAGAAAGAAAGAAAGAAAGAAAGAAAGAAAGAAAGAAAGAAAGAAAGAAAGAAAGAGAAAAAAATATTAGCTATGGAAGAAAAAAATTAAATAGCATCTTATGGTCAGGGAGATGGCTCAGCGGAATAAGCGCTTCCCTGGCAAGGGCAAGGGCCTGAGTTCAATCCCTGGTTCCACCTAAATAAATAAATAAATAAATAAATGATTTATAAGATGATTAGTCACCCCTCCAGGATACAGTGCTAAGGGTGTGGGGCCACAACCACGTTTGGTGCCAATATATTCAGATTCACTGTGATTATGAGACACCACCAATGACTCACTGAATAAATAGATCTGAAACATACAAGTTTGGGGGTGGAGTCGGTTTGACTGAAAAGACAGTGAAGCCTTTAATTGGATGAATTTATTTTTTTCATTTTTTTTCAAAGTTTTATTGATAAACAGATAGCAATGAGACAGTTTCAAATCCAATCAGAAGTACAGTTTCAACAAATAATACACTGCATATATTCTTCTTAGTGGTTAATTGCT